ATTTGATGATATCTTTGATAATTCTGCCGTGGTTGTGCCAGAAAGTGTTGAGCTGAACGATTCTAATGCTTCTACTTCTTGTGCAGGTAAAGTAATGGAAGATGAGAACAAGGAGAAAATTGTTGAACAATTCAATGACTCCATGAACTCTGACTCTGTTGCTTCTAATTCTGTTACTCCTAACAAGCCTTCTGTTGAGAAATACAGGCCACCAACACAAGTTAAGCAGAGTGCTTGCTGTAATTGTGCTTGTAGGAACAACAAGAGACAAGGCATGGACACGCCACCAGGGGCAGGAAGAAACAACTTCCCAATGAAGAAAAAGACTTGCTTTCACTGTGGAACACCTGGACACATTACCAGAAATTGTCCTAATCGAGCATACGTTCCCTACTATGCACAAGGCTGGCAAAACGCGCAAAGTGGGAGATTCTAAAAAAGAAATCATTCGAGGTCACAATCGCGCAATGGTGACTGGAATGCGCAGAAGGCCAAGAATCAAACCCATAATGCCAAGAATTTGACTCCTAAGAACAAGAAGGGATCGCCGGCCAAGAAGTCCAATCCAAAAGATGCTCCTGTGAAGCCAAGACCGGTTAGGTCAAAGTCATCTCGAAGATCGGCTTCAAGTTCAAAATCAAGTACTGAGCCACCCATCAAATCGAAAAAGAAATGGGTTAAACCCAACTACAAATGGGTTCCAAAGGCTCAATCTCCCAAATCATCTAATGTTTCTAATATTTATACATCTTCTTTTTGTGATAAGAAGGACATGTCATGGGAGAGAGTACCGTGCAAGAATGACAAAGGTCAACCCAGTTTCAAAATGGACTGGGTTCCAAAGACCAACTGATCCCGCTCTCTGTCGGAGCAGCTATGGAGGCATATCATCAGACTTCGGTTTGTTGGTAGTGGCTGTTCCAGGCACATGATAGGAGGCATTTCTCAACTGTACAACACTCATAACATTGTTTGAGTGTATGTGTCCTTTGCGGGAAAGGAAGAAAGGAAGGGATCACTCATAGGGTTTGTGCTTAATGACATGAAGAATTTTTGGATCTGTTATGCGATTATGCGTACTATTCTCAGACTTTCTGAATGGAAATTTAATCGATGACTTACGGTTTGAGTTTTCTTCTCGATACTCCTGAGTTTATCCTACATTGATTCATTTCAAAGACAATTTTCTTTAATTTCCTTATATGTCTTTCTTTAGTAGGTTGTTTTGGGAAGTGATATGAAGTCTAGTGCTAAAGGGCAATATGCAATTCGTGTAATGCACTAAAGCCGAATTTTCTAGACTTTGTATTCAATGTGCTGGTAGGCTCAAAGGATTCAAAAGGACTAGACATTAGTTGACCATGAAGGGACTTGACTAATATGAACTTAGATAGTTTCATTTGGACTGACCATACGACGCTCGGGTAGATTGAGCAGTGAGATAAACACGGGAACCTGCAAGATACACTAAATTAATACGCATCTAGAACTGTGGCTTAACTCTTCCTTGATGTACGGACTTATGTCCTTAATTATGGTTCGGATAGGGCGACTAGGGGGTTCTGATAAAGTAGGTCTGTAGGAAATTATTTTCTTGCTTTCTATCTGTCAGCCATATGTTGCTTCCTCTGCGTGATTGGAAGAGATCCGACCTGGATTGCAACATATGCAAATCTAATTCTACACACCTCCTTATCTATGAAATTATTTCTATCTGGTAGCCATATGTTGTCCCCTCTGCGTGATCGGAAGATCCGATCTGGGACACAACATATGCAACATTCTACCTCTCAATCCTTCTATCTCTGTTAGTCATATGTTGTCCCCTTTGTGTGATTTGAAGACATCCGACCTGGGATACAACATATGCATTTCTATATCTGACTTCTTTCTTAATGATTGAATACTCACCTAAAGTAAGGAGTTCTTTGGAAGTTCTTGATTACCGGGGTATATCGGGAAGTGGGAAACATGTTCTAGTACATCTAAAATTGAACCATTTAATAGGTTGTCTGTAGATCTTGCTGTTTAATTTAAGTGGACAACAATATCCTTGGTCATCGTCATCTAAATGTCCATTTAGGAATATATATCACAATGACTTGTCACTTATAATCTGTCCAAATTGTCAACATCCTTTGTGTTTAAGTGGACCACAATACCGGTGATTGACCAGATCTAGACATGCAGGCGTGTGCTGATAAACGATATTGGATTGCTTGACATCTTTGATCCCAAATATTTTTGTTTTTGTTAAATTTGTTCATACTTTTCCTCTATGCACAAATTTAGGGGGAGAATTAAAAAAAAATTCAAAAATCAAACAAAAATCAGAAATATTATTAAATCCAAAAAAAGTGTTATTTCTGTTTTATTTCTTGTTCAAGAAAATATAAAAAAAATATTGTGTGCTAAGTTTTGTTTTTTTTTTTGTTTTGTCTTAAAAAGTAAAATTCATGTGTAGATGAGATTCATGGAGACTGTATCGAAAATTTGTGAGCCAAAGCTTCATCCGTGATCATCGAAGAATTCTCATTCGAAGGAGCATGAAATGAAGACTATTCTTTCAACATTCAATCCTTCAACCCTAGAAGCAAGGCCAAGCTGTTCTTGAAGATTATGTGACAGATTGCATTGAAGCCTCCTCAATCAGTCTGCCGATATCTATGAACCTGCTGAAGTGATCCAGAAGATTGTTTCTCTCTGATATTTTCTCTCTGAAGATTCTCAAGCTGAAAGCGCTATCTTTCAAGAATCTTATCAAGAAGCCTCCTCATCCAACGTGCGTTCAATGCCAAATTCTGAAGAAAATCCCAACTGCTCAAGATGAAGTCATTCATTGAATATTCATATGTTCATCTTGGTGTCATGAAGATTTTGAAGATTAAAGCTGAAGCCAAAGCTCCCAATGAAGATTAACAAGAAAAGCCAGCTAATTTTTAGGGGGGGGGGGGGTTTGTTGGGTAAGTTAGAAAAGAAAGCTATAAATCAATGGGGAGATTGTTGGGTCTATATATTGGTTTATACTTTGCTTTTCTAGGAAAATATATTTTTATGTAGTTTTTGTGTATTTGTGTACAGCCGTACTCCTGTGTACGGCCGTACACGGGTGTACGGCTGCTGATCCTATATATATATATATAGTGAAGAGTGTAAAGGAGTGTAAGGCTAGAGAAGAGAGCAGAGCATATTGTAGAGAGAGAAAGTTAGAGTGAAGAAGAGTGTGTGTGAGAGAATATATGTGTATCGAGCATCATTCTATTCATTAAATACATCATAGATTCAAGTTATTCTTCTTCTCCTTCTCTTCTATTTTGATCTGACACCATCCGTTTGATTGGGATTCCGCACCATCAAACGGATCTGATTGTTCATACTTTTCCTCTATGCACAAATTTAGGGGGAGAATTAAAAAAAATTCAAAAATCAAACAAAAATCAAAAAAATTAAAAATCCAAAAATAGTGTTATTTCTATTTTATTTCTTGTTCAAGATAATAAAAAAAATATTGTGTGCTAAGTTTTCTTTTAGTTTTGTTTTGTCTTGAAAAGTGAATTCAGATGTAGATGAGACTCATGGAGACTATATCGAGAGTTTCTGAGCCAAGGCTTCATCCGTGATCATCGAAGAATTCTCATTCGAAGGAGCAAGAAATGAAGACTATTCTTTCAACATTCAATCCTTCAACCCCATAAGTAAGGTGAAGCTGACTTGAAGATTATGTGACAGATTGCATTGAAGCCTCTTCAATCAATTTGCTGCTATATATGTACCTGCTGAAGTGATCCAGAATATTTGTTCTCTCTGATGTTCTCTCTGAAGATTCTCATGCTGAAAGCGCTATCTTTCAAGAATCTTTTCAATAAGCCTCCTCACCCAATGTACGTTAAATGTCAAATTCTGAAGAAAATTCCAACTGCTCAAGATGAAGTCATTCGTTGAAGATTCATCAAGTTTATCTTGAAGCTGTGAAGAATTTGAAGATTAATACTGAAGCCAAGCTCCCGATGAAGATTGACAAGAAAAGCCAGCTACCTTTTTAGGGGGAGTTTGTTGGGTCTGTTTGAAAAGAAAGCTATAAACCAAGGGGGAGATTGTTGGGTCAAAAATATGGTTTATACTTTGCTTTTCTAAGCATTTATTGTTTTTATTATTTGGGCCGAAAATAGTATTGAATTATTTGTAGCGTCGGTCTAGCAATGGGTTTGGGCCTTTAGTTTGCAGCCCATATATATATATATATATATTATATATATATATAATATATATATATATATATATATATATATATATATATATATATATATATATATAATATATATATATATATATATATATAAGTAAGGGGTGAGGAGGGGGAGGGGCCTTGAGAGAGTGAGAGAGAAGAGGAGCATATTGTAGAGAGAGAAACTAGATAAAAGAAGAGTGTGTGAGAGAGAATCTAATGTGTATGTAGCATCACTCATATCTTTGAATACATCATAGATTCAAGTTATTCTTCTTCTCCTTCTTCTCTATTTTGATCTGGTATCATCCAATTAATTGGGATTCCGCACCATCAATTGGATCTGATTGATACACAAGCAGATTGGGGACTTACAATTGTAATAAAAGGAAATAAAAGTAGGATGTTATATTATACACAAATAAATGAAAGTATCTTGTTATTTCTTGCATCTAGCCTTATACTATAATATAATGAGAATACAATGTTGTAATAGAAAGAAACGAAATAGTATGCTATACTATTAAATCAAATAAAGATATTAAGTTGTAAAATGATAGTAGGATGCTATAACATGAAAATAGATGAAAGTACATTGCTATTTCTTCTATAACCTGAAAAGCCATCATCATAACTTGAAAAGTCGAAATTGGCACGAAAATGTTATGAGAGGATTACCAAAATAAGAAAAATGTAGAGACACATCCTTTTTTACAGTACAGTTTTTTTTCAAAAGTATCCATGTGCATACCCAAGGCATGCATGGGTATAAGTATTAATGCCCATAGTACAACATGACCCAAGAAGAAGTTTTCATCAAGTCTCCAATGGTTGTAGGGAAATTATCTTCACTGACCTTTCCTTCATAAGAGAACTTGACATCAAGTCTCCAATGGCAGCTGGCTGAAAGATTTGATCTTATCTTATACTTTCCATGAAGAGCTCTCAAAATCTCCACCAGAACAAAAGGATTGATCCAAAATAAAATCCCATGAAACTTTTGCCAAGTTTTAAATACATAATATTGTATATACTTTCGAATGATATTAACTAATGTTTATATGTAATTTACTATTAAACATACGTACCTAGAATTGTCATCCAGCAAATAGGAGTCACTATCAGGGCTTTCGATGTCCTCATGCATTAGAACTTTGAACTTGGAAATAACCAGTTTGTTATAAACATATTATTGAAAACCATGAGTTCCAGGTAAGCATCTACAAATAAACAACTTTTATAGTTCTATCCTTACTTGTAGGGGGACACTATTGCTTTCTTCATTGTCACTTGCATAGAATCTTCATATTTTGTGAATTTTTTAAATACTTAGAACCTGAAAAACCCTATATATATATATATATATATATATATATATATATATATATATATATATATATATATATATATATCATCTAACTTATTACTGTAGATTGATTACACAACTCAAACAACAGGAGAGATACATAGAGACTTATAGGACATATATGTTGGATTTGGTGTCTAAGCCCATAACTATAATTGAGATGTACTTGACCCGATTGTAGCATGGTCCTTTTGGGTTGCCTTCATCAGTGCAATTTGATAGGGTGGACTTTTGAGAATAAGGTTATTTTTGATTTATTAATATATTATAAGTATAATATATTAATTGAGAAATCATATTATTTCATTGGTATTGGTCAAGAATTAGTTTGGAATTCATTTTGTGATCAAAAGAGACTAATTAAATATGTGAGGATTGATTGTCTAAATCAATCATTCTTATAATGTGGGCTAATGATCCATAGTTATTTAGGATGGGCTAAACCATTGAGATAATCCATGGATAGTCCATGGAGGTTAACCCATGGAGCCTAAGTATATGAAAGGTCATTAGGGTTTACAAAGTGTAACCCTAGCATTTGCCACATTACAAATACTCACCCCTAGATAATAAGTGGTTAGACCTACTAACTCACTTCAACCAATATTTAAATAGAAAAAAAATAACTAAATTAATTAGTACCTTTGCAGTTGCCTTAGTACACCAAGCTTCTAATTTAGCTAACCCTGATTTCACATACTCCCCATTCCCAAGTGTACAACACTCTTTATGCATAAGAAGGCTGAGGTTCCATATTAAAAACTTATAATCCAAATTATTGTATAACCATATATGATATATAACTAGTTTAGCATGGTTAGAATCTCCAGTTACATGTTGAAGAGTTGCACATCAATGTCAGAGTAAACTTGAGCAAAAAAATTCTGAATAATGACAGGTGGCACCTGAAAAGAGGAAGACACAAGTGAGAGTTCTCATTATAGCTTTAAAGAAAATAACTTACACATAATTCTTTTAATGTATCAAGAACACCATTTAGGCTTTCAATGATGCTCTCCCAATAAGTAGTTGGATATGATTTACCATCTGATGTAATTGGTGCCTGAATTTTTAGGAAAGTATGAAATTAGTATATCATATATCAAACATCCTATTTACTAGTGAAATTATGATTGATCAAAAATATGGTACCTGGATACAAGACGAAAGAAAGTGTGACAAATCTTTCTTCAAGTTGTTACGAACACTATCCATCAAAAAGACCTTATAGTGTAAAGAATAGAGATTTAGGGTTGTAGTGGTTGACTGCGAGAGGGATTTAAGGTTTGCTTTGGTTACCCCCTTCACATCTTCATAAATCTTCATCGTGGAGGATAGAGATGTGAGAAAACCTAGTGGAAAAGGAGAGACGAGAAGGTGGAGGTGTCGATTAGGGGTCGTTGAAATGGTAGCTTCGATTGACGGTTGTTGATTAGTAGTTGTCGATCGGCGCTACAATCGAGAGGATTTACAGTCGTCGAACCATTTAATGTGAGGATCGATGTGGAAGAAATCGGACTCCGGTGTGGGAATAGAGAGATGAGTTGTAGGAGTAGAGAGGAGTTGTAGTCGTCGGTGTGTGAATTAAGAGGAGTTGCACTCGCCAATGAAGTTGTTGTTACATTTGAATATGAGATGATGGTGCATTCATAGAGAGAAAGGGTAGGGTTTTGAGAGATTTGACGGGATAATCTCTCCAAACTGGCAAAATCCATTGTTATTTACGAAGGGAGGTATCAGAAGGGGCGGGGACTTAAATTTTTTTGGGGAAGCTGGAAAATGATGGTGAATCCGACATATCTAGGTTATGAAAGGTATACCCATGTTGTTGTTTGGTTTGCTTTTGTGTAGTCCTGAAAAAAAAAACCCTAGAATTTGTGAAGATGGTAGAGGCATCGGTAGAGGATAGAGGGAAAAGGGAGATAGAACAAGGCGGGGTTTTTAATTTTTTGGGATTTCATTTCCCCCTTTGTCTATTTGAAAATCTTAGAACGCGCGTCCATGAAAAAATATAAAATGACACCTTTACATGACACACATTTAAGATAAGCGCCCTCCGTGTTTGTAATTTTTTTTTGTTTGAAACTAATTTTAGAGCACGCACAAATGTGTATCCTCTCTACACATACTTATGCACTATTTTAATATATATATATATATATATATATATATATATATATATATATATATATATATATAATATATATATATATATATATATATATATATATATATATATATATATATAGTGAAGGGTTATTTGGAAAACAAAAAAACCCTAAAAATCATAAAAATGCATAAAAAAATACTTACAGATTACAAAACTTTTTTTTTTATTTTTTTTATAAAAGAATCGAAGGTTTTTTAATAAATTCGCTGAAAAAAAATAAAAAATCAAATTTATTTTTTTAAAAAAAAAATTTAATTTTTTTTTTAAATCAACGAATTCATTTAAGAACCTGCGATTTTTTCATAAAAAAATTTAAAAAAAAGCCTTGTGATCTCAAAGTTTTTTTTTTACGCATTTTTATGATTTTTAGGGTTTTTTTAGGGTTTTTTGTCTTCCATAGAACCTAAACCTATATATATATATATTATATATATATATTATATATATATATATATATATATATATATATATATAAGCTATATTTTTGGTAAAATGCAAAGATATTTGCTACTTATTAAGTAAATTGTATTTTACAGCAAAAAAAGGACACTTGAAGGAAAAAGACTGAATTCCACAAAAAGTTGGACACTTGGAGGACTGGAGTTGAAACTAGGAGAAGAAGTGAGAGAAAATAATGCAAAACCAAGATCCCACGACATGTATATTTAACTCCCACAGCATGGCATGAAGAAATTCTCAAAGATTAGGAACAATCATACTCACGAATGTGAAGCAATGTCTCTCACGAGGTGACCACGTGTCCTTAGAAGACTCCTATATAGAGAAGTACAGGTTCCTTAGCCATTATGAGATCATCACTATTTTCACGTCATGACATCCTTATGGTCACGGAATGAGGACCGATTTTATGGAAACTATATATATATATATATATATATATATATATATATATTATATATATATATATATATATATATATGATATGTGCATATTTATACACATATTTATACAACATACATTAATATTTTAATTACTTTTATGCCCTTAATAGAACAAAAGATACTTAATTTGCTATGAATTGTGTTGTAGGGACTAAAAGACTTGTTTGGAGCAAAAAGGAAGTTGGAAGCTGGATTAAGGAAGCTAGAAGATGGAAGATTGAACCAAAGCAATAAAATGAAGAAAAATACACCCAACACGTCGTGGTGATCCTACCACGACGTGGCGTCTTGAAGATTCCCGATCAGATTCGATGACTTGGAGATTACGGGATAAACACAGTCACCACGACGTGGTGGACCCACCACGACGTGGTGACCTGCTTTCGGGAAAAGTATAAATATCTCACATAAACCTCCGAATGGGAACTTTTGGCTCTGGAGAATTCGAAGCTTTTTGAGGCAAAGGCACTGGAATTAAGAATTGGAAGCAAGGAATTCAATCACAATCATTAGAAGGAGGAGATCAAAGGCAACTAAACTCTACTTTTAGATTTTTCATTAGGAATAGTTAAGTCTTTACTTTTGAATATCGATTTTATGACTTTGTTTGCTGAAATCATGAGCTAAACACTCATGACTTTCGTTTAGCTAGGATGAGTTGAGTAAACATGGTTGATTTTATAGTTAGGATTTAGTTATTTGGTTATTTGTTGACTTTTGCTTATTAAAGAACCTCAAGTACTTTTGATAACTGCTCTTTATCTGCTTATTGCTGAATTTGATTAGGTTAGAATGACTATTTTTCTTAATTGAATTTGAATCTTATGATCTTGTGATTTGCAAAATCGTAGGAGTATAGTTTTGATTAAAACCTAGGGTTAAGTAGAAAAGTGGGTAAAAAAGTATAGGAGCCAATATATGACGATAAATCATATATAAAATTGAATCAATAAATTTAATTGGTCAATTAATTATAAGTCTAAGCAACTCGAACCGAACACTAGTGAACTTGTAAGTTTGTCCGCTTGATCACCGAATAAATAAGCTAGTTTGCTAAAGGATTAAATTGGTGAATACCAATTTGGTCATCTTAGGAATCGGTAGCCAAAGAAACTAAATCCATTGCACTTCTATGAAACAACCATAATAACAACAAATCTGAAGCTGAACGAAAGTCTCTTTCTCACCTTGGTAATTCATACTTGTTATTGCTTAGTTTTAGTTCTAGTTTTATTAAGTGAATTTTTGAGTTAGTTTAGTAAATCAAGTATCTAGTCTTGCAAAACTAGGAAAACAACCTCTCTTTTAATTTAATTATTAATTAGTCAATAGTAAAATAAAGCAATCTAAACACCGTTCCTTGTGTTCGACACTCATTCTTACCATTGCTATACTATTGCACGATTAGGTACACTGCCTAGTGTGTTTAATAGTCTAGTAAAGTAAATTACTTTTATAAATTAACTTGAATAAAATATAAGCATATTAAATTACACATCAAGTTTTTGGCGCCGTTGCCGGGGAACGGTTCAGTTTTAATTACTTTATATTGCTATTTTTAGGACTATTTTCTGTTGGAGTTTAGTTTTTAATTTTTATTTTAGTATTTTCGTATTTTAGGTTCACCACGTCGTGGTAATTTCTACCACGTCGTGGTATAGCTACTGTAGGAATTTTATTTTTCGTTTTTTTTCTTTTACGTGTTTTCTTTGTTTATTTGCAGATCGTTTATGACCAGAGGAGGAAATACACCTTTGATCCCACCACTTGAAGACCCGGAAGCTACTTTAAGGAAGAACAAAGGCAAAACCGTTGGAGAAACCGCAACTTCGAAGAACTCACCTTTGAAGAATCTCAAATCTGTGTTTACCAAGAAAAAGAGCAGTAAATCAGGAGGATCCAGCATCTCTTTGGCGGACGAAGACCCGAAGAAGGAGGACACCAAATACGAAACAGAAGGAGACGAAAAAGATCTTACATTTGCTAACAAAAGTGACCTAGAAGACGAACCCGACAACACCATGGCTAACATCGACGAAGTTCCCATGGGCGAGTGGAAGAAGAAGATGCGTGAAGATACCGGCCCAGGACTCGTGCAACCCGCGATTCCGCAAATGCCAACTTCGAGCTTAAGGGCCACATACTCGCACAACTTAAGGAACTCCCATTCTACGGTAAGGATCACGAAGACGCGTACAAACATCTAGAAGAGGTCAACGACATAGCCGACTACTTCAATGTTCCAAATGTGGCTTGCGAAACTGTATTGCTTCGTATGTTACGCGTTACATTCAAGGGGGCCGCGAGAGATTGGCTAAAACCACTTCCTCCCGGATCCATTACTACTTGGGCCAAGATGAAAGAAGAATTCATTGATCAATTTGCCCACCCTCAAAGATAGCGAAGTTGAAGAAAGCCATAGCCAACTTTGAGCAACACCCTGGAGAGTCACTTTATGAGGCATGGGAAAGATACAAGAGTTTGTTGAGGAACTGCCCACATCATGATCTGAACAGTCAACAAGAAGTCTCCATTTTCTATGATGGAGTAAATGTGACAACGAGGCAGCTCCTTGATTCTCAAGGACCACTCACAAAGAAGGCACCCCCGGTGATAAAACAGCTAATTGAAGAATTCTCTAAACAGTCTAGAGAATACCATAATCCAAGGAATGAATAAGCAAAGGGATCAGTTAATGCTGCTTCGGAGGATATGGCGGCAGTTTTGGCAATGTTGCACAACATGGATAGGCGAATGACTAAGATGGATCAAACAATCCATGCTATTCGGGTTGGGTGTGAAAATTGTAACGGGCCTCATTTGACTAGAGATTGTGACCTTGATGAAAATGGAAACCGGAAGGTTCAAGCTTTCTACTCGAGCGGTGATCGTTTTGATGACAATTGGAGAAAACCCAAGAAAAATTGGATACCTTATGAAGAATACAAAAAGGCTAAGGAAGAGAGATATGAACAAAAAGGAAGAGGGTTTTACCAAAAAGAGGAACCACAAGCTGAAAAGAAATCTAACTTGGAAAATATGATTAACCGATTTATAGCCGCTTCCGAAAAAAGGCACGAAGGAGCTGAAGCAGCGATAAAAGAACAAGTATTCATGAGGGAACAACAAGAGACAATGAGAAATACACAAGCACTGGTTACAAATCAACAAGCTTCAATCCTCACTATAGAGAAGCAACTCGGGCAACTAGCGAGCCAATTAAATGAAAGATCACCGGGAGGACTTCCGGGAAA